TCCAAGACATAGAAGAGAATATACTTCCAAACTCATTTATGAGCCCAACATTACTCTGATACCATAACCAGACAAGAACATCACAAGATAAGAAAATTACAGGCCATTGTTTCTGATGAAATAGAAGCAAAATTCTTCAACAAAACATTAGCAAACTGAATTCAGCAATACATTAAAAGAATCATACATCATGATGAAGTGGGATTTATTCTAGGCATGCAAGTATGGTTCAGCATCTGCAAATTAATCAACATGACACATCACATTAACCAAATAAAGGATAAAAATCATGTCATCTCAGTAGATACAGAAAAAACATCTGACAAAATTCAACATCCATTTATGATAAAAACTCTCAGAGTGGATAATAGAGGAAATGTATCTAAACATAATAAATGCAATATATGACAATCTCACTGCTAATATCAGACTTCATGGTGATAAGCTGAAAGCTCTTCTTCTAAGAACAGGAACAGAACAAAGATGCTCACTGTCACCACTTTTAGTCAACATAGTATTGGCAGTTTGACATAGTTTAGCCAGAACAATTAGGCAAGATAAACAAATAAAAGGAATCCCATTTGAACCCTCCTACACTGTTCATGGGAATGTAGTTTGGTGCAACCACTATGGAAAACAGTATGGAGATTCCTCAAAAGACTAAAAATAGACTTTTTGTATGATCCAGCAATACCACTCCTGGGCATATATCCAGAGGGAACCTTAATTCAAAAACATACGTGCACCCCAGTGTTCATAGCAGCACTATTTACAATAGCCAAGACTTGGAAACAACCTAAATGTCCATCAACAGATGACGGGATAAGGAAGCTGTGGCATATTTATACAATGGAATACTATTCAGCCATAAAAAATGATAGAACAATGCCATTTGCAGCAACATGGATAGACCTGGAGATTGCCATTTTAAGTGAAGTAAGCAGAAAGAGAAAGAAAAATACCATGTGAAATCACTTATATATGGAATCTAAAAAATTAAATAAAAAAGACAAACCAACTTATTTACAAAACAGAAACAGACTCACACATATAGAAAACAAACTTACAGTTACCAGGGCAAGGGGGAGGGGATGGGAAGGGATAAATTGGGAGTTCAAGATTTACAGATACTACTATATATAAAATAAACAAGTTTATACTGTACAACACAGGGAACTATATTCAATATCTTATAGTAACTTATGGTGAAAAAGATTATGAAAACAAATATATGTTCATGTATGACTAAAGCATTATGCTGTACACCAGAAACTGACACAACATTGTAAACTGACTATACTTCAATAAAAAATATATATAATAAAATAAGTATTCTCTCAGTTAAAAAAAGGAATCCCATTTGGAAATGAACAAGTAAAACTGTCACTATTTACAAATGACATGATATTATATATAGAAAACCCTAAAGTTGCCACCAAAAAAAACCCAAAAACAAAACAAAACTGTTAGAACTAATCAATGAATACAGGATACAAAATCAATATACAAAAATCTGTTGTGTTTCTATACACTAATAACAAACTATCAGAAAGAGAAGTTAAGAAAACAATTCCATTTACAGTTGCATCAAACAGAAAATACCTAGGAATAAACTTCACCAAGAGGTGAAAAATCTGTACACTGAAAACTGTCAGATGCAACCAAAGAAATGAATGAAGACACAAATAAATGGAAAGATATTCCATGCTTTTGGATTGGAAGAATTGATATTGTTAAAATGTTCATACTACCCAAAGCAATCTAGAGATTCAGCGCAATCTCTATCAAAATTCCAATGGCATTTTTCAGACATGGAACAAATAATTCTAAAATTTGTTTGGAATCACAAAAGAGCAAACACTATCTTGAGAAAGAAGTACAAGCTGAAGGCATCATACTCCTTGATTTCAAACTATACTACTAAGCTGTAGTATTTAAAACAGTATGGTGTTACAATAAACAGACACAAAGAACAATAGAACAGAATAGAAAGCCTAGAAATACAGCCATGCATATATGGTCAATTAATATATGACAAAGGAGCTAAGAATATACACTGGGAAAAGAACATCTCTTCAGTAAACAGTGAGAAAACTAGACAGCCATATGCAAAAGAATGAAATGGACCATTATCTTACACCATATGCAAAAATTAAGTCAACATGGTTAGACTTACAAGATCTTATGGTAGCTCACAGAGAAAAAAATGTGACAATGAATATATATACATTCATGTATAACTGAAAAATTGTGCTCTACACTGGAATGACACAACATTGTAAAATGATTATAACTCAATAAAAAATGTTAAAAAAAATGGTTAGATTTGAATATAAAGACCTGAAGCCCTAAAATTCCTAAAAGAAAACCATGGGCAGTAAGCTCCTTGACATTAGTGCTGGAGATATTTTTTTATTTTGCATCAAAACAAAGGGAACAAAAGCAAAAATAAACACTTGGGGCTATTTCAAACCTAAAAGCTTCTGCACAGCAAAGGAAACCATTCACAAAACAAAACCCTACTGAAAGAGAGAAAATATTCATAAATCATATCTGATAGGGGTTAATATTTAAATATATAAAGAACTCATACAACTAAAGACACAAAAAATTCCAGTTTAAAAATGGGCAGAAATTCAGAATAGACATTTATCCAAAGAAGAGATACATATGACCAATAGGTTCATGAAAAGATACTTAACATCACTAATCATCAGGGAAATGCAAATTAAAACCACAATGACATATCACCTTATGGCTGTTAGAATGGCTTTTATTAAAAAGACAAGAAATAACAAGCATTGGTAAGGATGTGGAGAAAAGGATCCCACCTACCCTGTCAGTGGGAATGAAAAGTGGTGCAGCCACTATGGAAAATAGTGTGGCGTTTCCTCATAAAAGTAAAAATAGAACTACCATAACATCTAGCAGTTCCACTTCTGGGTATCTGTCTGAAGAAAGCCAAAATGCTAACTGAAAAAGATACATGCACCTCCCCATTCACTGCCACATTATTTATAACAACCAAGATATAGAAACAATCTAAGTGTCCATCAAAAGAGGACTAAAGAAAGAAGATACGGTGTTTGTGTGTGCGTGTATACATATATATATATGCAATAGAATATTATTCAACCATAACAGAGTGAAATTTTGCCAACTGTGACAACATGGATGGATATTGAGAGCATTATGCTAAGTGGATATGTCAGACAGCGAAAGACACATGCTATGTGATCTCATTTATATGTGAAATCTTAAAAAACAACAACGAAGACAAAACCACTCTCATAGATACAGAGAACAAACTGGTGGCTGCCAGTAAGGGGTTAAACAGGTGAAGATGGTCAGGAGGTACAAACTTCCATCTATAAAACAAGTCCTGGGGGTGCAACATGAAGTATGGTGGCTGTAATACTGCACTGCATACTTGAAAGTTGCTAAGAGAGTAGATTTTAAAAGTTCTCATCACAAGAAAAAAAATTTGACTACAGATGGTGATGAGTGTTAGACTTATTGTGATTATTTTGCAATATATACAGATATTGAATCATCATGTTGTACACTTGAAACTAATGTTATATGTCAGCTATACCTCAATAAGAAAAACAAGGAACTAACTAATTAATTAATTTTTAAAAGTTACCCAGGAAAACCAGATTCAAAAGCCCAGGTTATAAAGTTCAGTTGTAAGCTTTCACTTCTAGGCTGTGACCTTAGTTTACAATACAACCGGCCGTTCTTGATCTGTGCTGGACACCACCTCACAAAAGGAGGCATTTGGCTCTCTGTGCCTTGTGCGTCCTTAAAACGTTAGTTAGTCTTAACTTGTAGCCACTGAATGGTATTCATGAAAAGTGTTCAATTAATGGGTGCCAAACATGAAAAGAATTGATATGCAGACAAGGAAACTAATCTTCCTACCGACTAGCACAGTGAATGTCGATAATTACTGTCTAGGAAGAAGGAAGCTAATTCACACAGCTGGAGACGATAATCAGCAAGTACACTCCAGACTCTAACGTCAGAGCAGTTATCACGGCACAGCCATACCCTCGTTCTCCGTTTGCTTTTTTCAAGAAAGAGAAAGGGCCATCATACTCAAAGTAACAAGACATTTTTAGAGGAGAGGCGTTTATAAATCCTAGAATGGCAGAAACATGTTGGAAAAGTTTGGAAATTCATAGCCTTTTGGAGGTTAGAAAGGCCTTGCCTCTTCCCTTCCTTGATTTCACATTCATTCCTAACGGTATCTTGTATTGGCTTTTATCTCTGTGCTTCTCTAATCGATTACCAAGAAAAAACAAAAACAAAGAAACCTAAGAGCTTATTAGCTCATGTAATTCAGTGAAACAGGTGCACCAAGATATTTTGACAAATCAAGACACCATGTAATTTAAAGAAGTTGTTTTTCTTTTTATCAGTCAACTATGTTAATTTCTGCTCTATTCAAAACACAGAAAAATGTATTTTCCATAAGGGAAATTATCAGAGGAGAAAATGAGACCTTTTAGCATGTAGGACTATCTGTAAACAGTGATGAGTAAAAAAAACTGAAGTTAAGAAACTTCCCTTATTGCTTTAAGCTTGTTTGTAATTTTAGCTGAAAGAAAATGATGCAGTCAGACAAAATTGCAGAAATCCAACTATTTTAGTCTTCTAGGCATAGATGTGTACAAATTTATATCTTTCTGATATAACCCATCCACTTCACTTGGATGCCATAGGGAAACTAAGCTTGCATACTGAGTGAATAGTTGTTCTCGGTGGGGGAAAAGTGACTCGGAAGGTTTTTTAGGCAAACGAGCAGCCTGAAGACTGTTCATTTAGTTGGTACTATTACTACTGCTGCAAAGTAAAACTAGTGGAGAATAAGATCAGTAGTTACTGAGTTCCTGGTAAGTTTAAATATGTTAATATGTGACTGACATAGACAAACACAACCAGAAGTGGTCGCCCACGTATCCACCAACCTGACCATGGTTTTGTTCGCCCTCCAGGGAGATACAGCTCTGAGAGTGATGTGTGGAGCTTTGGCATACTGCTCTGGGAGACCTTCAGCTTAGGGGTCTGCCCATACCCCGGAATGACTAATCAACAAGCCCGAGAGCAAGTGGAAAGAGGTGAGCCCCCGACACAGGGCAGTGTGTCCACATCCAGCAACAGTGCCGTGTCTACATTTCCCGGCGGAGGCGGGGATGTAAACAGCAAGAACGGGTGTTGGTAAATCTACTTTTGAACCTTACAGATGGTGTGGCTCTTACACAACAAAAACCAACAACAACAACAAACTTCAAAAGATTCCAACATTTTAAATATAAAAAGCAGTAGGCTTTGCTCCTTCTGCCCCTGCCTCGCACGGCATTTGCAAGGCTGTGCCATTCACTGTCTTCGAGGGAAGTGAGATTGAGGAACGCTACCTATTTTTTTTTTATTCTATGCCAAATAAACACCATTAATATTCCTGCAAATTGAAATGTAGTTAGATGTCAGGAAGAAGCAGTCGAGTGTTCCCAGACAGAGACAGGAATAAGTAGGTGATGGTGACACCCTCACCGCACTTGTGTCATCCATGCCTTTCAACAGAGAAAATACTGTGGACAGAATGGCAGCCCCCGGGCGGGGCATGTGGAAGGACTGGCTTCCTTCCTGCCTCTCGGACATTCGACTTCCTGAGGCAAATGCACACAGGCACGTCTGTGCCACCCAGCACGCTGCTCGGACACTGCCAGGAGACTGAATTAAAGACAAGATTCTTCTCCGACCATAAGGGAATATAACTCATATTCATTTGTATTTCACTTTTGAATTGGTGTTTATAAACCCTCATCCACTCTTCATCTTCAGAAACCTGAATTGAGGAGATGGTTTTCTTTTAAACTCTGCCCACAGCATTGAAAGCAAATACTTAGAGCAACTAAAGCATGCATCTGTATGTGATTTACGTTACATCAGACTTTGTGACACATGAACAAACTAAAAATGGGTTCTTTGAACTAGAAGGTAATTCTATAATGTTGAAATCTGCATCACTTGTAGAAAAAAAAATGTTTGCTCTAAAATGGATTTTTTGTTTCTATTAACTGACACTATAAGGTACTAAAAATGACAAGCTGCACAATGCCCTCTGTGAATATTTTAATCTTATCTCCATTCTAAATTCTCTGTTCTCTTCTTGGGTGTTCAGGATACCGAATGTCGGCCCCTCAGCATTGTCCAGAGGACATTTTTAAAATTATGATGAAGTGTTGGGATTATAAACCTGAAAACCGCCCCAAGTTCACGGAACTTCAGAAGGAGCTCACTGGCATCAAGAAGAAAATCACATAGTGACGGAACAGCGCAAACCCTGCCCGCGTCCAGGACTCCATCCTCCACTCTCATTCACAATGAGTTTATACCACATTATGTGCAACAGTCTTCTAAGGTTATCTTTTTTATTAACTGTTTTTTTTACACTATGTGCCATTAAAAAAGGTCAAAGTTAAATGCATTCAAGAGACAGACAGTCCTACCAAGGGCTTTCTTGCTCCCCACCGCAATCCTGCCATTTCAGCCTGTTGTAAATAGAAAAGCACAGGCTCTAACTGTGAGGGGGAACCGGTCCGTCTTTGTCACACCAGGACCCTTGCTGTTTCTCAGAGGTTCTGACTCCCGGCCCAGCTCACGGGCCACTGGCCTCTGCCACAGACCCTGCTCCGTCGGTGCTGTTGGCTGCACTGGTCACGCCATGTTCGCAACATTCCAGCCAAGGCTGGCTTTCCGCTCTGCTAAGGAAGAGTGTATTTGTCAACATCATTTTATGTTGGGAATTACTTGGACCTCCTAGGGTTTTTCTTTCCTTTCTTGCCAGAAATAAGCGCAGCATAAGAATCCTCACGTTCCGGTTTTATTAGTAAGGCTGCTGCTTCCCTCCCCTTCCGTTCAGGCATCAGAAAATGATGCATGAAACGTCCTCAAAGAGCACACTTTTAGTTGAGGCCACAGCTTTTCAAGGGTGTTGTAGAGAGTTGTGACAGCAAGAAGTAAGTTGGAACAGGAGGTTGGTCTGGAGAAAAGGGCAGCTAGACGGTCATCAAAGAGAAGAAAAGGGAAATACAGAATCTGCCTTCTTATCAGAGTTATGCCTTCACACACACACACACACACCCTCTTTATTTTATGGTTTGAATTCATCAAAACGATTCTAAGAAATGTTTGTTTTCAGGAGTTCATATTTAAAGCCTTCTTAATGGCCTCAGAAATTTTTGTAGAGGAACTTCAAAGCACAAGTCCACAGAAATAACAACATACTTTTGGTTAAGGACCTTCCCTTAAGAGGAGAAATCCCAGAATTTAATTCCCTTCGTGTGAGCCAGTTTCCAAAGCTGTCAGAATTTCATGATCCTAGTTCATAAACACATCCATGTGTGTACACACGTGGGCGTGTGCATGTAGACACACACACACACATAAAACTAAGAAGCCAGGAAGGTGTAAATGGAGTAAATGTTCAAGAAGTGAAATGAAGATTATTAAGGAAACAGAGAGAGAGAGAGACAGCCCTCCTACCGCCACTTGCCCCCTTCGTTTACTCTTACGCTGTTACCTGGAAATCCCTATCATTAGCTGACAGGTATGCAAGACAGCTCTGGAGATGCTTCATAGGAATAAAATGTTAACACAGAGTTGAAACTAGAATTCTGTTTAGCTGAATCTTAGCTGCATCCAGGGAACTTACCCCATGTTCTGTATATAGTTACCTCTCAGGATAAATATGTGTGGAAGAGATGGTCACGCTCAGGGGTAAATGTGGCTTGGGAGCTCTTTAATAAGAGCTCAGGCCTGTGTCCAAAGAGCACATTAGTGACTGTTTGGTCTCCATTCATTGGAAGAGCTTCTGGGATAGAAAATTCCTCCTACCACCTCCAGCTCTTTGCTTCCTGTGAATATCACTGCACAAAACTCACACTCAGTTGATTTTAAAGAGTATACAGGATAATACTGAAGAGAAAAATGGCTTGTGTCCACCATTTCAGTCTCCTTGCCAGTTTTGTACACATTTAATGATTACCACACCCAGACTAAAATGAAAGCATGAATATACTTGCCCTCAAAAATACTGCAATATACAAAACAACTTTTTCTTAAAATTAGCATTGTTTACCTTCTGTCAAATATTGGAAAGAAATGAAGCCTTCTCTTGATGGTGTATACTACGGTCAGTTAAGCACAGATTCATGAATTAAGAGCTCTAGTCTTCGGGCACTTGCCAGCTTTCAAAAGCAAGAAAAAAAAATGGGGACATTTCCACCCTTTGTCAGTATTTCCAAGTGCATCTCTCTGTACTATTCTTTATTTAAAGAAAACAGCCTCCCATCACTTAGCAGCCCCAGTGCTAAGCTCTCAGTAAAAGAGAGAATGATGGTTCGGGCTTCAATTTTGTGAAGACCTTAAGTTTAAATCTTTGCATTCTGGTGCAAAGGATGAACATGGCATTGATATTTCACTCATCCAGGCTGTAAGAATTTGCAATTCACATCATAACTCTGTGCTTAAATTAAAGAAGCTTTTCCAAACATCATGACATCTGCAGCATTTAAATTCTATTTTCTTCTTTGTCTCAAAGCAAGCAGTGGTATAGTTCAGGATTAATAACGCATTGGGAGTCTTTCAGGATCATATCAGTTGTAGAGAATATTAAATTTCATATAGGCACATGCATTAAGAAAAACTCACGCAGATCATTTTTTACCGTTAATTTTGTTGTGCTTGAAGCATAATTTATTCATCCCTTCTGTCACTGATAATTATTGGAATTATATACTTCAGGAGGCTAATCCATATCCGAAAAGCACACATACAAATACTGTTCTGAATTTGCAAGTTGATGTAGAAAAAGAAGTCTTCAGAAATACATAAAATCATATGACTTATTTAATAAGAAAACAGTTGTAACCAAAACTGCCACTGGTCTGAATGTAATTCAGCCAGGTCACAAATCTTTGTGTTGTTAATGGCTTTTTTCAAGCATTGCATATGTTACTCCTATACAGTTCCTGTCATAATTCCTTAAATTTATGAATACAGAGTGAGGGGCGGGTAAGCCCAGGCAGTCTGACTCTCACCTGCATTTTTCTACCTTGAATCACCAAGGAGCCTTTATGACAAATATGTAGGTAGGTTATCATTTTTCAAGGAAATAAATCTTTTATTGTCAAAATAACATTTATTACCAACATTTGAAACCTTAAATTATTTTGTATTCCATGTAATCTAAGGTTACTTCCCAAAGCCAACATATTCTTTCTCTTCCAGGAAAATAATAATAAAGGATTAATAAGTTTTGTTTAGACTTTCAAAACCAGAGATTTCATTTCAGTCCACCCTGCCACTAGGTCCCCAGTGAAAGGTCTCATGTAATCACTTCTCTTTTCTCTCCCTAATTTCATATAGTCAATAAAGTTCTTCATCCATAATTCACCATCTTATCACAGATACGCTCTTATTGAAACATCTCGCTAGCAGGTCAGTATAGAAGATGAGTCTAATTGTATCAGCCATTATTCAGTGCACATTTCACAACTATTTTTCATTTGAGGGTTGTTTCTAAAAGAAAAGAAAATGTTTAGTCATTGAAATAGTCTTAATTTCCTTTAAGCCATGATATAGTTTCCTTGTCTACGTTATACTCACGTTTCAGTTCTGAGATACAGTTTTATATGAAGTTTGGCTAATAGCACTAAAAATAGCCATGGCTTCACAGTACTGGTATGAGATTGTGTCAAGAAGAAAGTGTTTTAATTATAATATATGCCACACACTGAGGACCTTGCAGAGGGACAAACAAAAATTAGGATGCAGAAATGCATGTCCAGGTCGTGTGCTGCTGCCATTCAGTGATCTCAGTCACACCGCTTTATAGTCCATTCTGGGGAGTCATCAGCTGTTCTAGAAACGTACCTGGAAGCCTTCCTTAGTATACAGTGTGAGCACTATTCTGTGGCCGTGTGTCCTTTGAAGTGACATTGACGGATTCCTTCTGAAAAGAGACTGTTTGCCTCAACCCTGTTTACATATATATACACTCCCCGATCACACGATTGATATTTTAGATATTTCTTATCAACAGAATTGATTGTCCATAAACACCATTCTGAGTCATATAAAGACTGACTTTTGTATTTAGGAGTTCAGAGCCCTCACACAAAACAGACTAACGCCAAATACAAAGGACAACAAAGGGGACAAATAATTGAAAAAGACAAGGTTTCTTTATGTATTAATATGTTAATTAAATGAAAACAAAGATTTTATATGAAAATGAGTTTATATGACATTTCCATTATACTATTAAGTTAGCATGAAAGTTTACCATTAAAATAAAGTGTTACCTCTTTTGTTACTAACTCTGATTTGCTGATACATATCAGGAATTTTTTAATTAAATATTTTAGTTTTATTTATTTTTTTCTGTTTTGATTAGCTTCATAACAATTTGAATACTGTATTATTTGGGAGAATCCAGACCTACATATTAATTTCTGTAAGAGAAAACACTCTGATTTAAAAGTCCATATTTCAAGATGACCTCCTTGAAGGAAATACTGGTACAGTTGTGGAGTCCTATAAAATTCTCCTTTAAAAAATAATGCTGTAATACAGAAGGCGTATAAGCTATATATGTTAGTCATAATTCAATTTAAGGAAATATTTATTGCCCCTTGAAAACCATCCTACTGCCTCATTCTGCTTCGAAGATTAAATTCTGAATTGTTAAGTGTAGCCATTAAAACTCACTTAGCTGCCCGAGAAGGACAGATTCTTGGAGGTGGTAGAAAAGTCCTGCTGTAGTAAATTCCTAGTCACTTGAAACTGCAGAGCAGTAATGAGCAGAGGCTTCAGCACACCTGTTAATAAGGAGCTGAGGCAAGCATCCACAAAGGCAGAAAGGAAAGACCCGGTTACTCTGAGGCAGGACGAAGCCGCCCCTTGCAGAGAGTGTGGGATAATTAAAGTGGAACAGTGAAGACCCGGACAATGTCATAGGAGGCCTGAGGGAGCAGGGCCACCGGGCCAGAGCCTTCCTATAGAAAATGTAAAAGATATTGCAGTCAGAAGAAGCAAAAGAGGTCACCTGCCGGTGTGTGGGCCATGGGGTGAGCAGACCAGACACCCCTCCCGCACACTTGGGGCCGTCCTCCGTCCCCAGCTCACAGGCCGTGCTAGGCGGGGAGACACGTGCTCAGTGTCCTGCCAACTAAAGGGTTTGTCATGTGTGTTTAGACTTTGAAAAGAGACGACTCAAAGTCTCTCTATGTGTGAGTTAGTGACACCCTCTCTTAAGCTAAGATCACTGATTGTTCTCACCGTATTAGAAATCTCTGGCAGCAGTGGGTGAGAGCACGCTGAGATCGGCCCTGTCTCGTCTCTCCTCTAACAACTACCTGGCCCCTGGCGTTACCCCACCTCCCTGCGACGAGCTCTGCTCTGGAGAAGCATGGAACCCAGTAGGGAAGGAGGAAAAGACTCATTCTCCTTGCCTTTATACTCAACATTTTAGGGAAAGCAATCGCAAAGTCATCCTAAAGCCAGGCACAGCCCGGCGAGGGGCAGGCGTGGACGGCAGAGAGAGAGGCACCCAGAAAGACTGAAGGGCAGGAAAGGGCAACAGCAAAGAACCACTGCAGGGTGGCTCGTGGGCTCACCTTCCAACAAATCAATGCAGCATCAGTAAGGGAAAGCGAATCCTCAAAAGCCAATTTAGAGGTGCTTCCTGCTGCATTTTATTAAAGCTTACGTGCCTCTCAAGTCTCTACAACATTTCTTAAGGGGCGTTGAATTGGATATTGATTTGATTTTCTTTATGCTGCCTCTGTTTCTCAGGAGGTAGCCACTGTTGAATGAGAATGACTCTTGCTGGGTGTTTCTGCGAGGATGCAGACATGGCAGGGGTTCTGCTGGCTCCCTAAGCAGTGAGGAGCTGAGCGGTGGGGCATGTATGTCTGGGGTCACCCACATTGGGGCAACTGCTGTGAAAGTTTCTGCCTTTAATTTTATTAAAGAAAAGATATTTGCAACATAAAGACAGATTTAGCTTTCCTCCTTGCTGGCAAACTTGGAGGAGCCCCAAACCAAAAATATTTAAGATTCACATCTTCAATTTCTAAATCATCTTCCCAAACATTCCCATTAAAGCCAGAAGATGTGAGTGGTCTACAAAGTAATAAAATGTTGTAAGTGATGGTAATGACCCCAGGAGCAAAATTTTGCAGTATGTTTTCCCTCAGTGTGATTTATTCAGAAGCTTTTCTTGAACTACCACCATGTCAGGTTCAGGGAAGCCTGCTGGGTGCTAGTTTTTTTGGTGTTTTCTTTATTTTCTCCTTTCTGGTTGGTATTTCTTTTTCTCATATTCAGTTTCTTAATCCTTACTTTACCAAAACAGAAAAGCCTTTTTGTCATCAGCTTTTATCAGATAATACCTTAATTGACCTGGACCAAAGAGTTTCTCCTCAGGCTTTCAGGAGGGGAGCTCCCTGGCCTCCACTTACTGAGACCAGCGGCACACCCTGTATGTGAGAGGCCCCGTGGCAGATGCAGCTTAGAACACAAAGAAGGCCTCGCTGTAGTCTTTGTGGTGGAGACAGGACAGTTAGGCCACAGATGTGTCTGATGAGTGACGCTACCAATAGAGGTTCCTGGGAGACTTTTCGGGTTGGAAAGATCCCTGTGTGCAAATGTGTCCTGGGAAGCAGCCTGCTGATCAGCCAAATAAGCTCACTAGGTGACCCGTCTCCAAAGAAATGTTAAAACGCTAATAATGATTATTTTAAACCCCTGGGCATATTCAGCTTTTCCATTCCACTCTTCTGTGCCAATTCCTTTTGTTTTCTTTCACACTTTTCTGGCCAGTGTATGTCTAAAAGTATTTCAGGTTTGCAATGTCAAAGAGGTTTTCCCTAGCTTCAGAAAAGAGTGTAGCAAACATGAAGACTTAAGTTCAAAAGAAGCCAATCTACCCAGACACACAGACCACAGAGCGCCACTGTGTTAAAACATAAGCTCTACCCTACACTTCCCCAGAGCAGTGCCCTGCCTAAAACGCCAGACATCACACCTTTCTCCTATCTGCTACGAACAGCTCTAGGATCCGGACAGGTACCTTCTAGAAGCTATCCAAAACAGAAGTTAAAATGACATGCTAAGAAGCCAGATTTCAACCATTAAAGCAGACAACAGAAACACTACTTCACCCCTTTGTACTTGTTAGAGCACCCATGAAAAAACTATAACCATCTAGGCAATTCACCTGATCACAGGAGCTAATACCTTATTTTGAAAGCAAAGAATAGATGTCACTGGGAAAGATCAACATTTTGGGCAACGCAGGATGAGGAGAAGGTGGCCGTTAAAAAGGAATCCCAGTTCCCACACTGGAGCAGCAAAAATCTGAGAATGAAAAAAGAAGTTGTGTATGAGTCCAAACTCATTATTAATATTTTCTTCATATAGCTCTTGTCAAACTGTACAACCTTGAGGTCTTTCGAGGTGTCCGAGCAATCTTTGTGATGCAAAAAAAACTAAAACCACCCCCTCATCCCCAATGGGAACTCAAATTTCTAAGTGCCCTGGATTCAGAACCTCAGGGGCTGAGAGGGAATCTGGAATGTTATTACTGAGATTCCAGGCAAAAGGACCATCTTGGTAGTCTTTGCCAGCTCACTGATCCATGCTTTTGTTAATTTTTAAACAGGGAAGGCAGGGGGGATGGGGGTGCAAAACATCCTCTTATAAAGAAATTTTCCTTTTACAAACAATTTGATTTGGTAGAAATAAACTTGCCTCCCTGCTCTTAAGAAATGCCAGGCTGTTGTAAGCAAATGCAGAGGGCATGGTGCCCAGAGCCATGCTCAACATGAGCGTGAATGTTTTCTCCAAACCCAAAGCACAGCAGTTCTTATATTTAGACTCTAGGATGCTGTGGAGACCCATCCCCTGCCAGCTTAATTACTTTGCTTCAGCTGCAAGTGGAAGACCAATCCCCACAGAAGCGAACTTGTTCGCCATAATTCCTCCTCAGTTGCCAGCCTTTGCACACTTGCAGTGCACAGAAAATATGCATGAATGGAATTCACTATTTTTGGCCTTAGTGTCAAAGAGATTGGTTCCACAAGGTTCACCTGATTCCCTATAATAATTACATATTTTATGATCCTGTGATTCTCCATCTAATCCTAGCTATAGGCTCTGAGCATCAAATCAGAATCAAAGATAAAGGGGAACTGGTAGAGGCGTAGAGGTGTCTTGGTTATTTCAAATTCATGACCAGAGTGGTCAAAGATGTGAAACTCTCTTTCACTTGATGAACAACAGACACTTCACTGTATGGTATGTCAGTTACCGACACCATCCTGGGACATAATCAGGATCTCAACATGAACCGCTGGTCAGGAGCACACTTCTCATGGTCCTTTTCTGTTTGTCATTTTCCTTTATGAAGCATTGAGATTTCTCACTGAAACAGCTTTATTAGTCAGATGTCTATAGACATGTTTATGTTTAATTTATGTTAAATATATTAAATTAGACGGCCTGCTTAAACAACATGAGTATAGTGGGGGAGGGTGAGTTCTGCTGACTTTATGTGATAGTTTTCTTTGTGCTTCTCTTGGTTTGGTCTGGCAAGTGCCCTAAAGGATTGGAACTCTCTGAAGTCACAGCCATATGACCACATAGGGTTAGGAAAAGCCAGGTAACTGCCGGAGAATAAAATCAAGTTGTCAAAGTCCCAAGAACAGCCCTGACTTCTTCAGGAACCCCAGCACACTGAAAGCAAAGATAAAATG